TTCGGGTGGTGGCGGCTTGTTGTCAGCATCGATCTTGAAGAACATGTACCAAGGCAGCAGCATCCCTGAGCCGCCAGGTTGAACGAACCCCGGTTACAGGAGCGACGACACTACCACCTTCGGGTGCGTGGGCCGGGAGTCATGGGCCAGTAATCTGATGGAGGGAACGTGCTCTGCAGAGCTTAGGTCATGGGAAGCTTGGGCCATGAGGGGTGAGCACCAAGAGATAAACCCCGCGGCGCTTTGGCTTCAGCCCAGTCATCAGCCACACGGCAGACAATACTGACACCCGAAATACCCATGACATGGAAACAGTTACAGTGGACAAAGTGGATCCACCAGACGCGACGCGACCGAAAGCTTGGCCCAACCATCGTGTCGTCCAGCGATCTCCATATTCGATCGTTTGGCATTAGGGTCCAAAAGATAATTCAACGGACAAGCGACAGCATCGAAGCTGGTTGAACCAGTCGTGATGCTCAGCATTTCTTCGGGGTTGAACCAGTCAACTCCAGGATCATGGCCTCTTCCCGGTCCCGCTCGTCGTCGCGACCTCCAGTTTCTTCCTCCGGACGCAAGCAACGAGGCCCGGCTCTCTCGATGAACCTCTTTCGCATACCCAAAGATCAACAAGAACTTTTGGAGCGGCCAGATGCTTGGGCGGAAAGCTCTGCGAGCAACAACATCGGTTTGGTCAACATCCCTCCCCATGTGCTGGAATCTCTAAGATACTTCGAATCTTCCAGGGTCCTGCCACCTGGGGCGCAAAAGCCACTATCGCCAGGCGCTTCGGCACCAAAGAGCACAGCCGAAGCGAACAAGGTTGGCGATGGGTCAGCAAAAGAGCCCGACATCGATGAGGAAGATGGCAGTGAAGCAGAAAGCAACGCGTCAGGTGTATCCTGGTCACCAAGTCCGCCTCCACCACAGGTTCAAAAACCCCAACAATCTGTCGACCGAAGTGACGGCCAGAGCCAGGCCGAATCTCCTGCTAGATCTGTACCTCTCCCAACCTCATCACCCTCGTACCGAAGACGGTGGTCCCCGAAACCAAATACGCTTGAGAGGCAGGTGGTTGCCAGCACGGCCTCGAATGAGAACCCGCATGCCGTTTTCCAAACACAAGCGCCGTTGTTCGACATGGGATCTACTTCATCTCCCGTAAAATCTAACAACACAATGCTCGAGTCACAAGAAAAGGCTCAGGTCCAGTCAAGCCCCATTCTGACACGAGCGCACCAGGACCTGCCACCTGCTTCATTCCCACCCAGCAGCCTCGACCATGAAGATGACATGGAAATGGAAATACCAGGGGCATTACTCCACGCCACACCTCCAATCAACAAGATATCGGCGCGAATCAACGCGTCCCAAGGCATCGTCCTGGACACGCCGCCTCCATGCGGACAAGGCAGCGCCGGCCGGCTAACTTCTGCTTCCGCCGGGACACAAGCCAAAAGCGCGAATCCACCCAGACAACGCTGGAAGATTCTTCAATTCAGTGACGGCCCTGATGTTCCCGCTTCTGCCACGATCAGCGATACACCAGCGACGGTAGCCAAGACACAACTGCCAAAGCGCATCGAGCATGACCACGGGCAAACTTCTTCAGCAGGCATCATTACCTCTACATTTCCGAACACGGAAGTGATGGAGGGCCAACATCTGCCATCCACTGCCGGGCAAGGTTCATCCGGGATACCTACCCCCCAAGTGCGCACTACTGGCTTGTCGTCAACAGCAAACCAAGAAGCTTATGAAAGAGCGCAAACGGAAACACATCAACGACATCAAGTCTTGTCTGCAAGCATTGCGGGCAAACTAGTCCACGACTTTTCAGCACAGCCAACGACTGATTCATTCACTGACGGGCCCGACTTCAGAGAGCGGTTCCTGCTAGAGCCTCTCGAAACGTTCCAGTCAGCGTATCGGTCGTTCGACGGTAGCCTGGGAGACTTCGTTAGAGCCTGCGTCTCCCTCAAAAGCCTCCGCCGCGAAAGGAGACTCCCTGTGTTTTTGTACGATGACTTTGTGCGCGTCTTCTGCGACGACTACATCCAGTACGTTTCTGAGACCGACGAATCTCGCCCCATGTATGCCATGGAGTGGTACGTCGACAACGTCAGCAAACCGATTTACCAGAAAGGCGTTTTAACCAAGGACAATATCGACCGGGTGCTGAAAATGTATCCCGATGAGTACAATGCCATCCGAGAAGCCCTGGGCCTGTCTCGTTCACATACACCAATGACGACTGCTGGCGATCGATCATTCTTCATGGATGTCGATCCTTTGGAGCCTCCTTCTATTGGGCAGCAGCCTGTTGATGCATCGGTGAAGACGAGCAGCGATGTACAGAGAAATTTGCGAACATCTGACGTTGCCGTCGATTTCTCCCCTTCGCCCTTTCCGCGAAGACTCATTTCAGACCGGTCGGCAGACTCCGGAACTGAAGCATACGTTTCGGCAAGCGAGAACCCACTGTCTGGAGTTGAAAATACGCCGGCTCGTCCAAGCCGTGACTGTCGCTCACCTTCCGCAGACGTTGTGATTATTTCAAGTGTCAAAAAAACAGTGGCTGCGAAGTCGACGCCAAGGCAGCGGGACCGTCGTCGATCGCCGTACCCAGAAGCCATACCTGGACGGAGTAGCCCAGGGTTGATAGCGGCCACTACCCCTTCACAGCAGGCCCACCATGTCGATGACGGAGGGCCAAGCACGAGCCGATCGAAGGGCAAGGCGTCCCTCCGATATTCCCTGGATGCAGAGG